AATACATTTTAGTTGTCAACCAGAGTGTAATTGAAATTATCAGTAAGGTCAATTGCATTCAATGACGATATGAATCAGCGAATGCACGTTACAGGCGAGATAATACATATCGTCGCCTGGGTAAAAGATTGTCGTATGTTACGCACGTACATACGTATGACGCTTACGACAATCTTTTACCCAGGCGACGATATATAAGCATGTAAGTATATCACGCACGTGCCACATAGCTNGATAATACATATCGTCGCCTGGGTAAAAGATTGTCGTATGTTACGCACGTACATACGTATGACGCTTACGACAATCTTTTACCCAGGCGACGATATATAAGCATGTAAGTATATCACGCACGTGCCACATAGCTTCACATTAGAGGCATTCTCGAAGTCTTGCAAAGTCCGGTAAAAAACAGTTTTCCTATGGGACAGCTTTGCAAACCGTGCACCGTGCATGGGTCTTGCAAGACTTCGAGAATACGCCTATTGAAAAAATAAATGTGTTTTGTTTTCTTTGTTACTCGGAAACTGGGCTTGATCTCAGGGCATGCCGAATGATAGCGCGTAGGTACTGCTTATCTGAACAATAGCCAATTTTCCTATCAACCAGATAAATCCACTGAGACTTCAATTCATGGGCGCACTACAAAAATTTAGAGAAACTCTTTCCAAAATTTTTAACACTTTTGCAAAAAGTTTAAAACACGAATTTCGCGCCTCTATTTAATTTTCCACCACGGTATGTATGTTTTTATCTATAAAGATCTTCAATTCATTGAACCACAACATCCTTCAAACATAGTGGCTAGTTCCTAGTAGAAAAATAAATAAAACAATACCTAAAAAATAGTATTTATGATATCGATCAAATGTTTGTCTTCAAGCACGTGTTTAAAATTATTTATTCTCGCTTATATTGTTACACTGTATGTATATAGTAATTTATATGTTTCGCCATTGCAAGCGATTGTAGGTTAACGCTGGTCATTTGCCTTTGCCCGATGTTCATTTGACTACTATATAACATATTGCACTGCATGTAAGCTATTTAAAAACAATAAGAAATAATTCACATTAAACTGTATCCATTCATGTGGACTTCATTTAAAACTCTAGTCACGTTTGGGAAGTAAGCTGAAAACGTGATAATAATGCACACACACACACGTATTTGCTAGTATTAATTTATCTATTTTATAGACAAACATACATACTCGAACATGCATATATGCGGAGAATATTGAATGGAAAAAGTGAGCTATCAATTGTAGTTAAATTACTATATTTATCACACAGTTAATGCAATTAATAAACTTTTATATTGTGACATTTCACCCCAAGACGCTGGACGGAATTATTAAAGCGTGTATAAGGATCAATTTGCGTTATTACCCTGCAGTGAAAAATTATCAATTGTTAAAACTAACCAACTTATAGTTAGCTTTTTGGCGAGATTTCGATTAATACCTAACTTTTAATTAGCTATGACAAAACCAACTTAAAGTGAATTGTAAAGTCGTGCAGGAGTCATGCAGACGCAATCGGGAGTTGGTTTTCTTTACAAGTTTCTATTAAATATCCTCATACAAAAATTACTTTCAATACACTTTTTTTCTGAACTTCGCAGATTCTTTTTCATATTCAGGACAAATAAAAGGAAGATCGAAATTTTATACTATCATTTTGAAGTTATGTCTGACGGTGTTCGAATATGGGGCCACCCAGAGCAGAATATGTAAACAAATATGAAATGTAATAAAATAAAGTAAATAAATAAGTAAATAAAAAGGAAAAAAAACAAAAAAATATTTTGTTTTTCTTATTGATATTTTATGTCCAAAAGTAGTTAGTTACAAGTTAGTTGACATGTAATGCAGAGGTATCCAGGTCTGACTTTTTTGCGGCCATCGCCCCACAAAAGTAGTTAGCTTTTTTCGAACAAAATACACAGTTAATAGTTAGCACTAGTGTTCGCGTAAACAGACTAAAGTTAGGTATAAGCTAACGTCACTCCCTGCAGGGTAACGTTAGATCAGTGACATGCACAAACACGCTTAACTAGTTAACGTGATGGAATGAACTTGGCAAATTTTTTTATTAACTGCACTGAATACATACATATATTAGATTACATTTTGTTACTTTGAAGATGCTTTTTAAAAGGAAGTTAATTGACAGAGGAGAAATACTGGAGGTGTGTGTGGCCTGTGTCGCCATCAGTCGCAGGAGCCAGGCGCACATGTTTAACGTGGACACTTGGAATCACCACAGGCATACCACAGGCCCTATTACATCTGAATCTAAGCTGCATGAAAAGTTGAGACTTCAGGGTCATTTGATTTCCGTTAAAAAATTTAATGGCATTAAAGTTAACTATGAATTCGTATTCTTAACAAATTGTTTAGTTGTTAAAAACTAGTGAGGAGTAAAATTGTTTCAATTTCTATTAAAAAGTAAGATGGGTTATTGGGAACACAAGAATAATATAACGTTTAGATTCCATGCGTGTGCCTGGGGGGAGATTGCCCGGCCGATGAAGCTCCTAATTGTGAACTAGAATATGTACTAAATACCTGAAGAAGTAAAGTCTTAAGCATTTTACTAGTTACGGCGGATTCTCTGATAAAAAGTAGTCAACCTTTCCATTGGGAATAAAATGGAATTGCTTTTGATTTCATTTACATATTTTCCTTTAATTTCTTTGAAGCATCTGCATTGTGAATAAAAACCGGTTTATTTGCGTTCATGATGCTAAATTAAAATTTTATTAAAATATCTAAAACTAAATATTTAAATATGCATACAAACAAACAACAACAACAAACGACAATTCTAGTTCTTGACATATCGAGCCCTAACCGCCAAAATAACGTAAGCGAAATTTTTTTCGAAATTTTATTTTTGATGCAGAAATGCATTTAGGTGACAGGTAATAAGGTCAATGGAAATAAGGTCAATTGACTTTATTTCACACCCTGGTGCGAAATAAAGTCAATTGACATTATTACCTTTTCAAAAGCGAAATAAAGTCAACAAAAATTTGGAAATAAAGTCATTGACGCTATTTCCTCATTCAAATGGAAATAGCGTCAACAATGCTTAAAGTATGTCGATTCATAGAAAAAAATGTTGTTCTTACAATAAACATTGCCCCGTAAGTGTTGTTTTTTAATAGA